GTAAAACCGTATTTTTAGGGCTCTTAGGGCCAGTGTGAACTCACTGACTGTTTCTCTCGGTTTATTTAGAGAAAATTAAAATCTTCCTAAGAATTTTAATCCTCGATGTCTTTAAATACAGCGTTTCCACATTGACGTATGACATTTCTGATGAGAATCTTGAGAGAAATGAGTGCTCACATACTTTGAAAATAGGTCCCCAGTGGACACCACATCGCCGACAGGAAGGTTTAGTGGATTTTACACCGGGCCGAACGAAAGGTTTAGTGTACGTTGGTGTAGTTCATTCCTACACCAGTGGGACGAACGAAAGAACCTAATGGCAGCAACTTTGTTGATTCCGAAAAGCTGGTATTCCCATATGTTTCGGAGACGCTACCTATATTTACTATGGAACGTTTTTATTAATATTATTATTATTTAATATTATTATATAATTTGGAAATGTATCAATAAGAATAGTCTAAACTTTTACTAATATTTGCACATATTTAACAACTAAGAACATGTTTTCCTAATATAGCTAATAATTTAATCAAATTTGGTTTGTTTTTTCACTTTTCTCAGAATACATTATTCGTCATAGAGGTAGGTATGCTAATTTAAAACTGTTTATTTAGTAGTTTAGTAAAATATTTCAAAGATTACAATAAAGAATTAGTCACAGTTTACTTGTACCTTATTATCGATAATAATGGACCAAAAATAATAAAATACATTTTTTTTTTCAAATCTTTATCAAAAACATGTTTATACCATTATACCAAATGTTCTGTGACATATTTTTTGTTAAACAGTGTTGTTTCGTTTAGTTCTTATTCGAGAAACGAAAAAGCTTATATTGTTACGTGTTTTAATTAATTTTGTCTTGTTGGTTGTAAAATATGGAGGCTGTCTTGAATTATTCACCGATAAATCCCAAAACTATAACGAAAAAGTATTTTTTATCAAATTCGGATTTTACAATTCCATGCAGTGATTTTTGCTGTAAATATTTGTGTTCAGGTAAGTTCTTGAAATATTATTTAAAACTTTTATCAATAATTTTATAATGATAATAATTAAAATACAAAGACATTTGGAATAAAATAAAAATTGAAGCGCATATGATATAAGCAAATGACAAGCTTAAACCTTAACTCTTAAAAAAAAACTTAGAAAAAATACATTAACAAAATAATAAAATAATGTATTACTCTTCTAAAAAAAAAGATTCATTGAAATCAGGCAACATAGTAAAGAATTATCGCTGAATGTACTTAAAAAAAAACCACAAACAAGAAAAATTTTAATTCGAATTGTTTTCCATCTTTATCATATCAAATATCTATTTAGCTGTAAATCTAGTGGTGGTGGTGGCAGGGCCGCCGAGAGCCAAGCCGGGCCCCGGGACAATTCTCTACATCGGGCCCTGTCCAAAAGAATCTTAAAAAAAAAAAAAGTAACTCCCCTAAGTTAATAAGCTAAAACTTTTTAATTTTCATCACGTCCCCTTTCTCTTCTTATGTCGAATGTCTCTTGCAGAAAACCCTATTATCGGGCCCCCCTTATAACGCTGCCGGGCTCCCATTTGAGCCCGGGCCCCGGGAATTAATCCCGGCCTAGTCGGGCCTGGGTGGTGGAGTGTTAATAGCAGTAAAATCATCCCTTAATCGTACTAATTTAACCTAAAGCTGCATCTCAGTTAAGCACACCATTGTGTCATTAAAAATTGAAAAGCTAACTTTGATAGTCAATATTTCTAAATGTTATACAATTACATTTACTAGGGTGCATAACAAAATAATCTTTGATTATTCTATTTGCGATACAGTCATCAATTGAGTAACTAAGATAGATGATAATCTAACATTACTGATAAATCGTTGAAAACTCTTGTATTTATGCTCAGAAACTCTAGTGATGTCTCGATAAATTCAATCAGATCCCTGCTTGAATATGGATTGCCCATCTGGATACCTGGAAGTATGCTGGTTATCACAAGATAACTAAATATACAAAACACTCCTCCATTACTTGTATAATAAAATAAAATATCTTCTTGATATTTTAATTTTATAAAAAATTACAAGTAAAAAATGTTTTCAGTGTAAATGATGAAATTTAAATATATTTCGGTTATTAAACTCAACGAAACATATGATTTTTGAGAAATTAATGACACTTTTATGCAGATGGTAACAGTTAAAAAAACGTAGGTGGTTTTGCAGTTTACAGGTCGCAGAATATTAGACGAAATTCTTAGACATTGGTGTCGTTTTTAGGTTACAAATTTAAATAATAGAAACCTCTTTTTTATTGAATAAACCTTTCTGAACGTCTCACCAAAATTTATAATGAATATTCCAAAAATTGAGGTCTTGGTGACTAATTTCTCGAATATCTACATCTGTATCACCTTCAGGATACTTTGAAACATCCCAAAAATTAAATTAGTGACCCTATCCATTTCAAATTTTTATTTTTATTAGAATAAACCTTTCTGAAGGTCTCACCAAAATTTATAATAAATATTCCAAAAATTGTGGTCTTGGTGACTAATTTCTCGAATATCTACATCTGTATCACCTTTAGGATACTTTGTATCATCCCAAAAATTAAAATAGTGACCCTATCCATTTCAAATTTTTATTTTTATTAGAATAAACCTTTCTGAAGGTCTGACCAAAATTTATAATGAATATTTCAAAAATTGTGGTCTTGGTGACTAATTTCTCAAATATCTACATCTGTATCACCTTCAGGATACTTTGAAACATCCCAAAAATTAAATTAGTGACCCTATCGATTTCAAATTTTTATTTTTATTAGAATAAACCTTTCTGAATGTCTTACCAAAATTTATAATGAATATTCCAAAAATTGTGGTCTTGGTGACTAATTTCTCGAATATCTACATCTGTATCACCTTCAGGATACTTTGAAACATCCCAAAAATTAAATTAGTGACCCTATCGATTTCAAATTTTTATTTTTATTAGAATAAACCTTTCTGAACGTCTCACCAAAATTTATAATGAATATTTCAAAAATTGTGGTCTTGGTGACTAATTTCTCGAATATCTACATCTGTATCACCTTCAGGATACTTTGAAACATCCCAAAAATTAAATTAGTGACCCTATCGATTTCAAATTTTTATTTTTATTAGAATAAACCTTTCTGAACGTCTCACCAAAATTTATAATGAATATTTCAAAAATTGTGGTCTTGGTGACTCATTTCTCGAATATCTACATCTGTATCATCTTCAGGATATTTTGAATCATCCCAAAAATTAAAGTAGTGATCCTATCGATGTTAAATTTTTATTTTTGCTAGAAGAAACCTTTCTAAAGATCTCACCAAAATTTATCATGAATATTCTAAAAATTGTGGTGTTGGTGACTCATTTCTCGAATATCTACATCTGTATCATCTTCAGGATATTTTGAATCATCCCAAAAATTAAAGTAGTGATCCTATCGATGTTAAATTTTTATTTTTGCTAGAAGAAACCTTTCTAAAGATCTCACCAAAATTTATCATGAATATTCTAAAAATTGTGGTGTTGGTGACTGATTATCTTTCCAAATATCTATAACTTTATCACCTTCAGAATACTTTGAATCATCCCAAAAATTCTACAAATTTAAATAGTGACCCTATCTATTTCAGATTTTCATTTTTATTAGAATAAACCTTTCTGAAGGTTTCACCAAAATTTATAATAAATATTCTAAAAATTGTGGTCTTGGTGACTAATTTCTCGAATATCTACATCTGTATCATCTTCAGGATATTTTGAATCATCCCAAAAATTAAAGTAGTGATCCTATCGATATTAAATTTTTATTTTTGTTAGAATAAACTTTTTTAAAGATCTCACCAAAATTTATCATGAATATTCTAAAAATTGTGGTGTTGGTGACTGATTATCTTTCCAAATATCTATATCTTTATCACCTTCAGAATACTTTGAATCATCCCAAAAATTCTACAAATTTAAATAGTGACCCTATCTATTTCAGATTTTCATTTTTATTAGAATAAACCTTTCTGAAGGTTTCACCAAAATTTATAATAAATATTCCAAAAATTGTGGTCTTGGTGACTAATTTCTCGAATATCTACATCTGTATCATCTTCAGGATATTTTGAATCATCCCAAAAATTAAAGTAGTGATCCTATCGATATTAAATTTTTATTTTTGTTAGAATAAACCTTTTTAAAGATCTCACCAAAATTTATCATGAATATTCTAAAAATTGTGGTGTTGGTGACTGATTATCTTTCCAAATATCTATATCTTTATCACCTTCAGAATACTTTGAATCATCCCAAAAATTCTACAAATTTAAATAGTGACCCTATCTATTTCAGATTTTCATTTTTATTAGAATAAACCTTTCTGAAGGTTTCACCAAAATTTATAATAAATATTCCAAAAATTGTGGTCTTGGTGACTAATTTCTCGAATATCTACATCTGTATCATCTTCAGGATATTTTGAATCATCCCAAAAATTAAAGTAGTGATCCTATCGATTTTAAATTTTTATTTTTGTTAGAATAAACCTTTTTAAAGATCTCATCAAAATTTATCATGAATATTCTAAAAATTGTGGTGTTGGTGACTGATTATCTTTCCAAATATCTATATCTTTATCACCTTCAGAATACTTTGAATCATCCCAAAAATTCTACAAATTTAAATAGTGACCCTATCTATTTCAGATTTTCATTTTTATTAGAATAAACCTTTCTGAAGGTCTCATCGATATTTCTTGTGAATATTCCAAGAATTGTAGTCTTGGAGATATCGGATAACTATTAAAAATTTACCCAGAACAACTTTTCAAGTTTCATCGATTTATAGACATATGAATTACGATTTGTTTATTCCAAATTGTTATTTTAAGACAATTGACCTCTAGTTAAAAACCAGTGTAAATAATTATTAGAATAATTTATGTAAATTAATGTACACATCATAAAAAACAACTATATCAATATTTTACCTGCGTCAACTGCGTTAAACCATTCGGCCAATATTTTTCTTCAAAATATTTATCATTGGGCCATGATTGTAAAGGAGCTCTATCACCGTGTCGAAATAACTAAAAAAAAAAAAAAAATAAACTCATTATTGTTTGCTTTATAGATGTACAAAAAAACGTAGTCAATATGTTATGAGTTATTTTTTTAACAAGTAAATTTTTAAAAACTCAAAACTCTTTTTATTTTCTCATAAATCATTAGATCCTGACCAACTGTATACGGATCTCTGAGGTATCCCTTTTCTTATAAAAATCAAAAAACGCGATAAAGAATTATCCTTAAAAATACACGTCAAGTGAAGATGACAGCTTTGGTCATAATTATTAAATTATTAAAAAAATATAGATATAGTTACTTACAACAACTACAGCTATTAATTCTGATGTCTGTCCCATATAAGGTATACTTTTTTCTGCATTTATGATAGCGCCACAAAGGAATATCAAAAAAATCCAAAAAACTTTCATTTCATTGTTCAAAAAAATTTTTCCATGTATTATCACATTGAAAAACATTAAAGTACACTGAAAAACAAGACAATATATTTAATAAATATAAAAATATATACAGAGTGTTAATGAATACGTGTTACAGATTTTTAGGGCATGTAGAACATGCACAAATAGAGTGAAAAGTTCATATAAACATGTGCTCTTGGAGCTTTGGTTTCGAAGCTAGAGCTCTTTGAAGATGATGTCTTCAGGTCAATTTTTTTCAAATATCTTCAGATCACCGCCCTTTAAAAATATTAAATATTCATTTTATGAACACTCGATATATGGCAAGATTATTGGTCTTAAAAAAAGATGCGCTTCAATAATTATAATGTAATAATAAAATATTATCATGTGATTTCAAAATTATAATTTTGTAACAAAATTTGCATTGATAACAAAATTTTTATTTTGGCTGAATTCTACGAAACTCGGTCATAGATCAACAATCTGCAATTGTCCCAAAATACTTTAGGTCATGGTTACGTCTTGTTTTTACATAAAATAACAATTTATTTATTTTCTTAAATAAATCATCTAGACCGTCAGCAAATTCGCGTGAATCCATTGGCGTACGAAGAGAATACACAAAGTAGGTATTTTTTTTTCTCTCCTGGGCTCGTCTGACTATGTGTCTCCGAATAACACTGAAGCCTATTGGCTTATTGTGTTTTACCCCATGTTAGTTCATAGCACCCACTCTATCACCTTTGTACCTTGTACAAGTTTGTACAGATCCTTATGTGAGTGGGTTCTATACGTTGTTGGATCAACCTGGGGTTGTCCAAAAAGAGCCTGTCTTTTGCGATCTAGAGCTTCGCATTTGCACAGTATGTTTTTGGCCGTTTCTGGTTTCTTGTGACATAGTCGGCACATGAGTTCCCCATTGTACATGCCAATTTTGTTCAAGTGTCCCTTTACTGGGGCGTGCACCGTCATGAACCCTGTTATCACTTTCAACTGGTTCCTATTCATTGATAGTAGTTCTCCAATAGAAAAACTATTACAAAAATCGCATCGCAAGAGCTAAAAACTCCTCCAAAGAAACCTGGTCTATAATAAATGACTTAAGGAATAAAACCCGTTCTTCAAACAGTGTAAATCCTAGCCCAGATGAACTAAACAATTATTTCGTAAATGTAAGTAAAAATATCAAATCTAACATAGCTCCGAGTCAGGATGCTCTCTCCTTCCTCCTACCTACTAAAAGGATCACTGAAAGTTTCTTCCTAAGGCCAGTAGACAAGCATGAACTAGTGCAAACCATAAACAACATCCAAAATAAATTTTCCTGTGGAATTGATGGCCTGTCCACCAAAATATTTCTAAATATATCGGATGTAGTAATCAACATTTTAACTTCACTGATTAATGAATCCTTTGAAATTGGTCTCTTTCCTAACTGTCTAAAAACAGCTATAATAATCCCACTTCATAAAGGTGGCGACAAAACCAAAACCTGTAACTATAGACCTATCGCGTTATTGCCTACCTTATCGAAGATAGTAGAACGGCTAATGAAAAACCGTCTTTTGCCCTTTCTTTTCAAGCATAACATCCTCACAGCTCATCAGTATGGCTTTCTACCTAAAAAATGCACTAGCGACGCAATGTTTTCCGTTCTTAATGAAATATACACATCACTTAATGATAAACTTTTCACCGCTTCAGTATTTTGTGACTTCGCAAAGGCCTTCGATTGTGTAAATCATGATATTTTAATTAATAAGTTACAAATTTATGGCATACGGGGTTCTCCTTTACAATGGTTTAAAACTTACCTAGAAAATAGAAATCAACAGGTGCGGGCGAATGGTGAGGATTCTACAAATCTAGCAATAAGCAGTGGAGTACCTCAAGGATCAGTATTAGGTCCAATTTTGTTTTTATTATTCATCAACGACATCACAGACTTAAGAATAAGTGGTAGAATTACTTTATTTGCTGATGACACCAGTGTAACCTGGAATAATTCTAACATGCAGACATTACAATCTATCATAAGTGAAGATCTAGTGACTATTAAGTCCTGGTCTGATTCGAATGGACTTTGTTTCAACACCAGTAAAACTGTAGCATTGTCTTACAGAGGTACTTTACAACCTATAACTTTAAACAATAATCTGATCCAAACGGTGACTTCAATCAAGTTTTTAGGTCTTTATATAGACGATTCTCTAAAATGGTCTGCTCATATAGATACCTTAGCAAAAAAATTATCCTCCGTATGTTTTGCCATTAAATCGGTTTCTAAAGAGCTGACTCCTTCTACTGCATTAATAACCTACTTTTCCTTATTCGAATCTCACCTTCGCTATGGTTTACCTTTCTGGGGTTCTTGTAGCTTATACCTTTTTGAATCTATTTTTAAACTGCAAAAAAGAGCAATCCGCTATGTATTTGGTTTAAGTAGTAGGACACATTGCGAAAATTACTTCAAAAATTTCAAAATTCTAACCCTTCCTGCTCTATTTATTTTCGAATCCGTCTGCTTAGTTCGCAAGCACATTCAAAATTTATCCGAAAGACCGACTCGTAGATATCCTACAAGAAATTTAGAGACTGATGTTTATTTAACAATGCCCACTTCTGACCTATTAAAACATTCCATTACCTACAATGCCAAAAAATTGTATAATAACCTTCCGATGCAATTAAAATCTATAAATACATACGATAAGTTCCGAAGACTGGCTAAAGCTTTTCTTCTAGAAAGACCATATTACACAGTAGCAGAATTTTATAACGTACCTTAGACATTTGAGTTCCACATACAATGGCATTAATTAAATATTAAAGTTTAAATTTAAATTTAAAAATTAAATTAGAATAATTATAATGACGGATATTGCATATCCATTGCAATTGTTATTCCTATTTTGTCTGTTTGTTTCTGTTTGTTTTTTCTGCTGTTTAGTTATTTTTATAATATGTTTAGTATTTAAGTTACACGCTTTGTCTATAAAATTTTTGTTAATTTTTTTACGACAATAAAGCATATCTCTCTCTCTCTTTTGGGACATGGTCTGCCTATGAAGGCTTTTTCGTGTGCCTGTTTTGGGGTGCTTCCCCAATAGTTGATATGTTGTTCCCGAATCCAGTCATCCATAGGTATGTTGTATGCACAATAATATTTGGAAACATTTCAATTTATTTTAAGAGCGTTATCCAGTACGCTCCTATCTCAGATTTCAAATCTGCTAAATAATACGCGACGCAGTACCTTTCAGTCTAATTTCGCAACGTCGCGCGCTCGATGTCTATGTAAGTTGTTACTTTGAGAGATATTCAAGTCGGATTCGGATGTGCGTTTTAGTTTTTAGTAGAGAAGAATTTAGTACAAAAGTCACTTTAGTATCACTATCACTTTTGTGATCCAGTATCCAGTACTTCCAGTAGAAATAAAAATAAAAACAAAATTATATAAGCAATATTAGTCTTGGGGCGGTAATTACCCGCTATATATGCGCCCCTGTCTTTTTTTAAACGAAAATACTATCTATTTATCTATAAATTAAACAGAAATATAAAATTAATGTTGTGAGACCATTTATTGAATTCTCACCAATTTTAAGGGGTTTAGGAAATATACATGGTTGTCGTTATTAGTAAAATTAACTTTGTTTCAATATAAATACCATAATTTTATTCTTATTTCTATCAGTTCAAATGTATATGACACGTGCGCCTCCCATTATGAAAGGGTGGTCAGGAATAAAGTCTCATTGCCCTATTTGATTTGAAATAATTGGCTGTAGGACCTCATTAGTCCCACATAGTTAAAGTAAATTCTTCTTTTTGGTAAAACTGACTTAATGATAGACGCATACGCCATATAATTATTATTTGTTTTTAAATAGGTTTCCAATATTTAATTAACTAAATTTCAACATTGCATTGCATCCAAATGATTAGGAAAGTGAGAAAAGCCCGCACAAAAATTTAATTTTATTATACTTATCATGAATTTACGTAATCACTTTTTGTTATTACAACCTCAAATCATACCGGGTCATACACTTTAAGTGAAGGTTATTTTTGGATTGTAATCAATTTTATAGCCATAACTAAAAGTTTTTTGTACATAATTGCATATTACTATCTTATTGTAACGTTTATAAATATGAATGTCTTCGCCCATTAACTTTTAACATTTAACGGACGTTTATATGACCATGCGAGCACGTAGAAATCATACAATGTTTTATGGTATATTGTATTTACTACGTTTTATGACCTAAAATCAAATACAATTTTAAAAAAGTTCGATCTAATAAAAATTAAAATTTAAAACAGATACTTAAGTTTGTGAAATGATTCAAAGTATCCTGAAGGTGATACAGATGTAAATATTTGAGAAATTAGTCACCAAGACCACAATTTTTGGAATATTCATGATAAATGTTGTTGAGACCTTCAGAAAGGTTTATTCTAATAAAAATAAAAATTTGAAATAGATAGGGTCACTGCTTTAATTTTTGGAATGATTCAAAGTATCCTGAAGGTGATACAGATGTAAGATATTCGAGAAATTAGTCACGAAGACCACATTTTTAGCCTTTTGAGCACGATGTTCTAAATTTTAAATACGCTATTTTCAGTAAATAATTAAATGAATACCGACACAATAAGTACTAAAATTAAATAGTATATAACCTGTATACTCATTCATAGTAATATGTAGGCAACACAACATACAAACAACGTAGGAATCAAGTAGGATGAGGTCAATAAAGGGAGGGATTTTTTTATGCTAGCTGAAGAATAAATATTTGAAATTTCCAGTAAAAATCATGATTGTTTAACTGCTCCAGAAATACACTAACAGCTGTTTCGAATCAAAAACCTATGTACTTCACAAAAGATTAGCGAGTACAAATTCACTGCACGGTGTTACTAGCGGAAACTTATTTTAAAATGCAACCACTGCTCTGGTACGATAAATATATGACTGATACATGTTTATTTACCTATAGTTTTTAATGAGTCTAGTTAAAATATTTTTTTTTACCCTAGAGTTAATAAATTTTCTAAAATTCCTAACAATACGCGAAACAAGTGTATCAAACTCATTTAAATTCCACGAAAATGTGCTCTGCACCAATTTTAAACTCTGTAGGTACAACAAATCATGATGATGAAGGAGAACTGCTTGGCTTATAGAAATGATACAGCTTAATTGTTGTATTACTTGATTTCATTGGAAATATTAATAATTAACATTAATAAAAACCAAACTTAGTAATAATTTTATTAGTTTATGAAACAAGTAAAAAGCAGTGTTAATTTAAAAGTTTTTTTAATTATATCAGTATAGTTTAAATGTTAATAAATGAATTGCATAAATCTACAAAGGACACTGCAGTTTTATTATATTTTTATATTAAATTTGTTACCAGAAAGTTACATTCAGTTTTGTTGAAATCCGCGTCCATTAAAAGTGTTTTTTTTAGAATAATGTGTTTTTTATATTAAATAACATTAACATTAGATTGTTTATCATATAATTCTTCTATATTTTACCAAATAATTTAAACTTTTACCCACGTATTACATCAAATTTGATTAAGTATATTAAAACGATAACAAATTCCCGAAACATTGTACGTTATTTTTGTTTTCTATAAAAGATTAATAACGAGTTGTCCAGTCGGTCATTTTTTGATCTTCGATTGACGTGAAATGGAAAATAAAATTCAAAAATATCTCTTATCTGGGGAATAATATTATTCAGGATGATAAACGGGATACCAATTTGTAACAAATGTAATTAATCATTATGTGAAGTTTGGTAGCTAAAGATTAAAAGTCGTTGTATTAAATAGATTATCTAATTTAAATGAGAAATATAATAAACACGAAAATTTTGTTAAGAATGTTTAAAATAATTAATTATTATGTTTAAAACTATATAAAAAAGGAAAAAGAGGTAGGGATGAAACAGAAGATTTGATAAACTTAGTACCTAACCCATTTTATATTGATTTTTTAAGATGTATGTGAAAACTTTGTTTATGTCCAATCTATTTATAAATATTTTAATAAGAAAAACTTACCCAATCACAAATATAACAATTCCCAGTAGGTTAAATTCAGCTTATCTTATTTAATGTATATTTTAAACTAAAAATTTAAAAAAAATCCACAAAAGGTTTCATAAACATGTCAAAATACTATGACTTCACTCAAAATGTAAGTTACCATCTGGATAAGTCGCATCAATGTACTGTGACAAGCAATTAGAATAATCTGCCCAAAATCAGTAAGTATATAAGTAGTTAATAAGAAATAAGTACCTAAAGGTGGTTATTAGGTATGATATCCTCAACACCACTTCACTAATCTGAAAATTAATGTCTATTAGGGCTCAAGACTTACTACAACCAAAGGAAAAGAAGTGAACGAGGCTATCAGAGATCAAAAATGTAGTTAGCACTCCATGGTAGTTGGCCAAGGTGTATAACCAAAATACTAGACCTGGATTTTTTATTTCCAAAAATATTGCAGTAAATTTTATAAAGATAGAAGATGTTGAGGAATTAATATATGATCACCTCCAACATTTCTAACAAGTAGACATTCCTAAACATTCCTAGACATTCTTAGACCTTCAAAGACATTCCTATACATTCTTAGACATTCCTAGGCATTTCCTGACATTCTCAGACATTCCTAGACGTTCCTAGATATTCCTAGGCATTTTTAGACATTCCTAGACATTCCAAGACATTCCTATACATTCTTAGACATTCTTAGGCATTTCTAGACATTCCTAGACATTCTTAGATATTCCTAGATGTTCCTAGACATTCCTGGGCATTTCTTAGACATTTTTAGACATTCCTAGATATTCCTAAACATTCGTAAACAGTTAAACTATACTGTCGGTAAAGTAGGACATTACTAAGTATAGCGATTTAAAAACTGTTGGGTTTTAAAATTTTTATCTACTCATCTATATTCATGCTGATGTTTCTTCAATAAAAAACGATTTCTAAAATATCTTCTATGGAGATTAAAGTCTTCTCTGATATTTCTTCTGTAAGTTATTTCGTTGAGGAGAAACTAAAAAAACAAACAGAATAAACCAACACTTGTTTCTGTTAAAATCCTAAACATTCTTAGACGTTTCTAGACATTCCTATTCATTTCTAGACATTTTTAAACATTCTTAGACATTTCTAGACATTCTTAGACATTCCAAGACATACCTGGAAATTCCTAGACATTCCTATACATTCCTAGACATTCGTAGATATTTCTAAACATTCGTAAACGTTCCTAAACATTTCCGGACTTTTTTTAGACATTTTTAGACATTCTTATGCATTCCTATACATTCTTATACATTCCTAGACATTCCTATACATTCCTATACATTCCTATACATTCCTATACATTCCTAGACATTCCTAGACATTTCTCGACATTCTTAGACATTCCTAGACATTCCTAGACATTCCTAGACATTCCTAGACATTCCTATACATTCCTAGATATTCCTAGACATACCTGGACATTCCTAGACATTCCTATACATTCCTAGACATTTCTAGATATTCCTAAACATTCGTAAACATTTCTAAACATTCGTAAACATTCCTAAACATTTATGGACTTTTTTTAGACATTCCTAGACATTCCTATACATTCCTAGACATTCGTAGATATTTCTAAACATTCGTAAACATTCCTAAACATTTCCGGACTTTTTTTAGACATTTTTAGACATTCTTATGCATTCCTATACATTCTTATATATTCCTAGACATTCCTAGACATTCCTATACATTTCTATACATTCCTAGACATTCCTAGACATTTCTCGACATTCTTAGACATTCCTATACATTCCTAGACATTCCTAGACATACCTGGACATTCCTAGACATACCTATACATTCCTAGACATTTCTAGATATTCCTAAACATTCGTAAACATTTCTAAACATTCGTAAACATTCCTAAACATTTATGGACTTTTTTTAGATATTCCTAGACATTCCTAGACATTCCTATACATTCCTAGACATTCCTAGATATTCCTAGACATACCTGGATATTCCTAGACATTTCTAGACATTCCTAGATATTCCTAAACATTCGTAAACATTCGTAAACTTTCGTAAACATTCCTAAACATTTCTAAACATTTCTGGACTTTTTTTAGACATTTTTAGACATTCTTATACATTCCTAGACATTCCTAGACATTCCTAGACATTCCTAGACATTCCTAGACATTCCTAGACATTCCTAGACATTCCTAGATATTCCTAGACATTCCTAGACATTTCTAGACTTTCCAAGACATTCCAATCACTACATCTCATTTCAAATTGAAATATATAAAACCCTGTTCGATGTAGATAAACAAACGTTCTAGAGGTAAAAAATACATATAGGATATAGATATTCAAACGTAGTAATGAAAATAAATATTAAAATTCATAATAATAATGTTTATTCCTAAATTAATTGAAGGTTAAACAGTTGCCGCCAATTTTTGATAAAAAACTAAACAGTTAGATCTATCGAAAAGAAAAAATAAGTACAGCAATTAATCATAAGCCAATAAACAAAAATAATAATCTACGAAATGTTTATTGAAATCATTTAATGGAATATACCGATATACGAAACAAAAATAATGATTATAAACAATGAGGAATAAACCGTGGCGCCATTTGCATAAGAGCATGCTTTTTTGTGTGATAATCATAGTCAGAAAAGCAATTAATTAATTGGGAAATATTATAGAGCTGATTTATTTTTGGCAAAAAATATATGGCTCAGAATAGGGTCCTGAATTAGGGATAATCAAATGTTCCATAACCTTGTCACAGAATGTGTCATCTTCAGGTCCACTTTCATTTATAAGCACAAAAAACGCATTGTATTACATATACTTTACATATTACTTTAAAAATGCTTTCAAATGTTTCACATCCGTAAGTGTTTGACACAACATTTCTTAGAAACCAAAACTTATTTTGAAGCCTTCCAAAAACCGCTCCAATTACTCATCTGACCACATTACTCATTTCTAAGCATTTAAAAGATTTAATATTATTGTCAGAGACCGCTCAAACTTCCTTATCAAAAGCATACCTTCCTTTGCTCGATTCTCAGTCTGTAACCCGTTGTTAACCATTCCTAGACATTCTTAGACATTCCTATACATTCCTAGGCATTCCTAGACACTTATAGACATTCCTAGACCTTCTTAGACATTCCTAGGCATTTCTAGACATTTTTAGACATTCCTAGACATTCCTATACATTTCTAGATATTCCTAGGCATTCCTAGACATTCCTAGACATTCCTATACATTCCTAGACATTTGTAAACATTCCTAGACATTTCTAGACTTTTTTAAACATTCTTATACATTTCTATACTTTCCTAGACATTTCTAGACATTCTTAGACATTCTTAGACATTCCTAGACATTCTACGACATTCCCAGACATTCTTACACATTCTTAGACAATCCAAGACATTCCTATTAATTCTTAGACATTTCTAGACATTTCTAAACATTTCTAGACATTCTTAAGAATTCCTAGACGTTCCTAGACATTTCTAGACATTCCTAGGCATTTCTAGATATTTTTAGATATTTCTAGACATTCCTATACATTCCTAGACATTTGTAGATATTCCAAGACATTCCTATACATTCCTAGATATTCGTAGGCATTCCTAGATATTCGTAGGCATTCCTAGACATTCCTAGACATTCCTAGACATTCTTAGACATTCCTATACATTCCTAGACATTCCTAGACATTTGTAGATATTCCAAGACATTCCTATACATTCCTAGATATTCCTAGGCATTCCTAGACATTCCTAGACATTTTTAGATATTTATAGACATTCCTAGACATTCTTAGACATTCCTAGACATTTTTAGATATTTTTGGACATTCCTAGACATTTTTAGATCTTTATGGACATTCCTAGACAGTTCTAGATGTTCCTAGACATTCCTATACATTCCTAGACATTTTTAGACTTTTTTTTAACATTCTTAGACATTCTTATACATTTCTATACTTTCCTAGACATTTCTAGACATTTCTAGACATTCTTAGACATTCCTAGACATTCCTAGACATTCCTAGACATTCCTAGACATTCCTAGACATTCCTAGACATTCCTAGACATTCCTAGACATTCTACGACATTCCCAGACATTCTTAAACATTCTTAGACATTCCAAGACATTCCTATTCATTCTTAGACATTTCTAGGCATTTCTAGACATTTCTAAACATTTCTAGACATTCTTAAGCATTCCTAGACGTTCCTAGACATTTCTAGACATTCCTAGGCATTTCTAGACATTTTTAGATATTTCTAGACATTCCTAGATATTCTTGGACATTCCTATACATTCCTATATATTCCTATACATTCCTAGACATTTCTAGACATTTGTAGATATTCCAAGACATTCCTATACATTCCTAGATATTCGTAGGCATTCCTAGATATTCGTAGGCATTCCTAGACATTCCTAGACATTCTTAGACATTCCTATACATTTCTAGACATTCCTAGACATTTGTAGATATTCCAAGACATTCCTATACATTCCTAGATATTCCTAGGCATTCCTAGACATTTTTAGATATTTCTAGACATTCCTAGACATTCCTAGACATTCCTAGACATTTTTAGATATTTTTGGACATTCCTAAACATTCCTAGACATTTTTAGATCTTTATGGACATTCCTAGACAGTTCTAGATGTTCCTAGACATTCCTATACATTCCTAGACATTTTTAGACTTTTTTTTAACATTCTTAGACATTTTTATACATTTCTATACTTTCCTAGACATTTCTAGACATTGTTAGACATTCTTAGACTTTTTTAGACATTCCTAGACTTTTTTAGACATTTTTAGACATTTTAAGACATTTTTACACATTTTTACACATTTTTAGACATTTTTAGACATTTTTAGACATTCCTAGACATTTTTAGACATTCCAAGATATTCCAAGACATTCCTATACATTCCTAGACATTTCTAGACATTCCTAGACATTCTTAGACATTTTTAGACATTCCTAGACGTTCCTAGACATCATTGAATTGACACACACACTTTCGATTAAGACAGAATTAAAATTGACATAACAGCACTTATCATGTAAATGCACATAGATGTACAATATTTTGACAATATTATTCTGTTTTAAACTGTGGAAGCAAAATTCCTACACCTGTATGGCACAGAAAAACTGTATAAATTTATAAATTTATCGATATTTTGTTTAAATGTTTTATTATTTAATCGAAAATATTTTTATCTAAATTGTTCTCTTTTTTGTTAAATAAAGGTGTCTCTGTATTCTATACATTTTAAATAATTAGACAAAATAGTTGGACATCTTGAAATATAATTGATGATGACACAGTTACAAATGAAACTGCAATCTCTATAGACGTCAAGCGACAAAATTGATAAGGTCTGCAGATCGTAACATCAATAAATAACAAAATAAAGGTTATTATAAAAAAAAATCAACGAATTTCTAATTTAGCGGAACTATCAATTCATTCAAAACAATTTGTTTACTTCATAACAATTTAAATCATTAACGTTTGTTCCAGCTGTAAAAATTCAGATAGAATCATCCGATTCGTTTAAAAAACTAACCGATAGTACATCCATGTTTATATTTTCTTCAACAGATAAGCAAATTTATATATAAAACTGGTAACATTCATTTATTCACCCATTATCAGTTCGAAGAACAAACAACGAACCAAAAGTGAGATAATAATATTTTTACCAGAATCCGAGTTCAAATTTGAATTAAATTAAGTGAGGTTATATTGTAAAACACCGAAAGTGAGGTTAGGTATTTAGAAATGTATCCTGATTTGGAAAGATACAACGATTGTGATGCGGAATATCGTGGAAATTCGTTTTTCGAACAGAATTGTAATCAAATTTTCACGAAAGGTCCAGCGTTAACCAAAGATTTTTTGGGAAAAGTCAACGCTGAGATTGTGCCTAAGAAGACGTATATTTTTGGACGTGAATTTAAGACAAAACGAATACTACGTAAGTGTTTTTTAGTTTTTAAATTAGAATTAAAAAATAATACAATATACAAATTCCACAAATAGGATTTTTAAGTTATATAAAAGTTATGTTTTTTTAAATGAGGATAATTTCCTGACCTTAATTAAAAATTTCCTAGGTTTAATCGGTCATTTTGTTATTTTCAAACATTTAGCACTGCATATGTTTCGGAAATTAATTTTTTTCAATCTTTGAGTGCAGTAAAAAATTTAAAAAAAAAACAAAAGGACGATTTACAACAGTTTAAAAATGTTTAAAATATCAGAACCCCATCTTTTTCTTTTATCAAATACACCTTCACACGATAAAAGAAAAAGATGGGGTTCTGCTATTTTAAACTGTTGTAATCGTTCCCTTGTGTTTTTTTTTTTAATTTTATTTTTGAGTGCACCTGAAAATGAAAAAAAATAAATTTCCGAAACATAGGTAGTGCTAAATGTTTGAAAAAAAACCTAGGAAATTTTTATTTATATAAAAGTTTGTTGACGTTGCTAAAACTTTTCCTAAAACTCAGTAACTTACATATTTTAAATTCTAGGTTATTATTTATGATTTATGTGAGTTTTGATGGATAAATACAATTTAATATTAAACGTTTTACAGTGGTTTCTATAACTCCAGTTATAACTTTTTAAAAAGATAATGTTATTTATTTAGATATCTAAAAAACTGTAGGACAGTAAATAAAAATAATCAATTCATATTAGTTACAAAAGTTTTCAAATTTTGTTGGAATATTTATTAAATTTAAATTTATTAAAACGTTCTAAATATTGAATTTTTGGAAAAAAATATCACTTGACTTTATGCCTTTCTCTTTAGTGATAATGTTTTAAAGTATCATATCATGGAATTCTTCATCAGGGCCGATTAGAGGGGGGGAGGGGGGTAGCCGGGACTAATTCCCGGGGCCCGGACACAAATGGGGACCCGACAGCGGTATAAGGGGGGCCGGCAACTGTTTTTACTTTCCTATCTGTATACAGATATAAGGAAAGTATAGGAATCATGATTTTTTTCGACTTCGAGTTTTCGATTTTTACGTTTTGAGGTCCCCTGAATCCGTTTTGACTATTTTCGCGATGATGTCTGTGTGTGTGTGTCTGTGTGTGTGTGTGTCTGTATAACGCATAACTCATGAACCGATACACAGAAAAACACCAAATTTTAAACTTAAGCTTCGTTTCAGCGTCCAATGAATTGATTAGATTTTGGGCAGAGTCGGAACATCTAGGGGGGTACTTTATAGGTGGTCATTTTTATATTTTATAGAATATATCTGTTATTTACGTTTGGAAAACAAAATTCTTTAAATAAAAGTTACTTCTAATATAATTATCTATAATTTTTGTTTTATACAAAATTTTCCTAAAATGGTCCGTATTCGAGAAATTTGACAAAATGTAAAAAAAATAATTTTTTATAAAAATTGTTCAAATAAAAGTTGTTTGTAATATAATTCTCTATAATTTTTATCCTATACATAATTTCTCTAAAATGGACCGTATTCGAGATATTTGAGAAAATGTGTAAATTTCGAAATTTGAAGAAAACTCAAAAACGGATAAAGGAAAAAACATTAAATTTTAAATTTAAGGTTTATTTCGGCCTGACGTGAAATGATTAGATTTTGGACAAAGTCGGAACATCTGGGGAGGTACTTTATGGGAGGCCGTTTTTATATTTTATGGAATATATCTGTTATTTGTGTTTGGAGAAGAAAATTGTTCAAATAAAAGTTACTTCTAATATTATTATCTATAATTTTTGCTTTATGTCAAAATTTCCTGAAATGGTCCGTATTCGAGAAATTTGACAAAATGTGCAAAATTCTAATTTTTATGAAAATTGTTGAACTTAAGTTGTTTGCGATATCGATCTCTATAATTTTTGTTTATACATGATTTTTCTAAAATGGACCGTAATGGAAAAGTGCTAAATTTAAATTTTTCAGTATTTTCGTTTTCAATGAATATCTATAGAAAAATGTTTCGAGATAGATGTATGTGGACAATGTATATATTTAGTTTATCCTCTAAACATTTATAGAGATGCTGCAATAGGTTGTACAAAATAACTGGAAAATGCCTGTAATAACTAGATAGGAAAGTCATGTGTTGGACACATCAGATTTTTTGTTTATTTTGTTTGAGAAATTCGACACAGGAAAAAAATTCAATTCAAGTAGAGGAGGAAAAGTTTTTACTTGAAGAGCTTTTTTTGTCCGATCTAGAGAATTGTCCTGGGGTCCGGCCTGGCTCTCGACGGCCCTGCTCTTCATTTTAAATGTCTACGCGTTCTTCACTTCTTTAATTTTTTTTTAGGTAAAAATGAAATCTGCCAATCGCTCTCAAATTATGATAACTATCACTCCTACAAATTTGGACGCCAAGTTCGGAAACACCCTGTATATCTGTATATATCAAAACAATTAGTGTCTAGACATATTTTACTTTGTTCACAAGATGGTTTTTAATTAATTGACATAGTTACACATTTGTAATTAAATACAGTGTGTTTTTCAACAAGTTTTAATTTTATAATATAATTAAATATAGTAATATAACAAAACAGAACAAAATAGTAATACAGTAGTAGGTAGAGAAGAGATACTGTTCAAATTTTTTTCCATCTACCTCTGATATAGCTTTATTTCGAATAATTAGTATAAGATTTTGATTACACCTTGTATAAATATGTTTATAAATTGTACTATAATGATTATCTTTGTAAAAAATTGAATTATCCCAATGCTTTCATTTCATTAATGCAATAATCAATATCATTATTATTAGAAACCTTCTAAAAATATGGTTGTTTTAAAATTATGCAAAACTTATTAAAACTACGCCTTTGAGTGATAAACTTTTGACATCTTTACTAGTCACGCCACTCCATTGATTTGGTATTTCCGTTCAAGGTTTTGTAATAATCGAAAGATATATTAAACCTTATCTGATAAACGTTTTATTGTAACTTTTGTTTATTTACGATAGTTTTGATGCATTAATGATGCTATACTGGCCATTGATCGCTTTACAATACGCTTTGTTCTTGTCCAATGCAAAAACTACAGATTTAACGTTAGCGTGAGCAGGAAACGGATAATATCAACATAGCTATTAGCTGACCACGTGTATGCAGTATGCATATTCACGGCAACTTTGATATTATTCGTTTCTTGTTAGCTGTAATGCTAACTCTCTTCGACATTAGCAAAGCATATTGGAAAGTGTTCAATAGCCGATACTGCATGTGAGTTTTTGCCTAATTAATAACAATTAAATATGAGTGAAACTAAAAGCTTTCCCAAAAATGGGATTTTTAACTGAATTTAAAGGTTTGATGAGTCATTATTTACTATAAAAGGCGGCACTGTTGTATCGACATCCAAAATTTTGTCCAGATTCTTCTTCTTTGAACACATTCTCGATTATCTTTTGCAATTTGGTAAATGTTCTATCATTTTTACTTTCCTATCTGTATACAGATGTAAGGAAAGTATAGGAATCATGATTTTTTTCGACCTCGAGTTTTCGACGGATTTTTACGTTTTGAGGTCCCCTGAATCCGTTTTGACTATTTTCGCGATGATGTCTGTGTGTGTGTGTGTGTGTGTGTGTGTGTGTGTGTGTGTGTGTGTGTGTGTGTGTGTGTGTGTGTGTGTGTGTGTGTGTGTGTGTGTGTGTGTGTGTGTGTGTGTGTGTGTGTGTGTGTGTGTGTGTGTGTGTGTGTGTGTGTGTGTGTGTGTGTGTGTGTGTGTGTGTGTGTGTGTGTGTGTGTGTGTGTGTGTGTGTGTGTGTGTGTGTGTGTGTGTGTGTGTGTGTGTGTGTGTGTGTGTGTGTGTGTGTGTGTGTGTGTGTGTGTGTGTGTGTGTGTGTGTGTGTGTGTGTGTGTGTGTGTGTGTGTGTGTGTGTGTGTGTGTGTGTGTGTGTGTGTGTGTGTGTGTGTGTGTGTGTGTGTGTGTGTGTGTGTGTGTGTGTGTGTGTGTGTGTGTGTGTGTGTGTGTGTGTGTGTGTGTGTGTGTGTGTGTGTGTGTGTGTGTGTGTGTGTGTGTGTGTGTGTGTGTGTGTGTGTGTGTGTGTGTGTGTGTGTGTGTGTGTGTGTGTGTGTGTGTGTGTGTGTGTGTGTGTGTGTGTGTGTGTGTGTGTGTGTGTGTGTGTGTGTGTGTGTGTGTGTGTGTGTGTGTGTGTGTGTGTGTGTGTGTGTGTGTGTGTGTGTGTGTGTGTGTGTGTGTGTGTGTGTGTGTGTGTGTGTGTGTGTGTGTGTGTGTGTGTGTGTGTGTGTGTGTGTGTGTGTGTGTGTGTGTGTGTGTGTCTGTGTGGGGGGGGGTACTTTATAGGTGGTCATTTTTATATTTTATGGAATATATCTGTTATTTACGTTTGGAGAAAAAAATTCTTTAAATAAAAGTTACTTCTAATATAATTATCTATAATTATTTTTGTTCTATACAAAATTTTCCTAAAATGGTCCGTATTCGAGAAATTTGACAAAATGTAAAAAAAATATTTTTTTTATAAAAATTGTTCAAATAAAAGTTGTTTGTAATATAATTCTCTATAATTTTTATTCTATACATAATTTCTCTAAAATGGACTGTTATATTCGAGAAAATATAAGAATAAGTACCAACCTAGCCCTCCAGTTTTTCATTTTGCTCCTCTTACTTCCAATCAGATTATAAAATATAATTTTTCATTTCAAAACGAATTAATTAACTTGTTTTTGCATTTTTTCCAAATTTTAATCATAGAAAGATTAGTGTATTTATAAATTCGTTTTGGGACATTCAGTATGCTTCCATTCTTTTATAAAACACAAATAAATAAACAAAAACATTTTAGAAAATAAATATCCTTTCATATATTGAAATTTTTTATTTACAAAAAAACATCAAATTAAAATTACAATCTCTGATTTATGAATTTATTTTGTCTATTTGTGTATAGGACGCACTTTAGTTACTTTCCAGCTAT